GAGAAATAACAAAATGGGAGGGTGGCGGGAGATGGGCCTGAAATACAGGAGACTTCCGGGAAAAACACAAGTGTTGGCAGGTGTGCAGTTCACCTCAAAACAAAACAATATATATATATATTATTCACAATGAACTGGTTTGAGGATTTAATTTCTGCCATTGAACAGAAAAGAAGATATTTAGAAAAATGTTGGAGACACTGCACACTGCAAAAAATAGAAAAATGTTTTTTTTTGTCTTTTTTTTTTCTAGTCGAAAAACTAAATATTCTTGAATAAAAACGCATTTTGTTGACAGATATATATATATATATATTTCTGTTTTGTGTGTTTTTTTTTAGAAATAATACTTTTATAAATTAAGTTTTTCCTTTAAACAGGCTAAATAATCTTTAAAAGTTAAGTAAATTTATCTGATCTCAAACTGAAAAAAGTATTATTTCATTAAATCTATTGACAGATTAATTTGTTTTAAAGAAAAAGTCACTTCTTTCATTTATTCATTAAATCATTCATTTTCTCTCGGCTTAGTCCCTCCATCACAGTGGAATGAACCGCCAACTTTTCCAGCATATGTTTTACACACTGGATGCCCTTCTAGCTGCAACCCAGTACTGGGAAACACCCATACACACTCAAACACACACACTCATACACTAAAGGCATTTTAGTTAATCAATTCCTATAGTGCATGTGGTTGGACCGTACAGGAAACGGAGTACCCGAAGGAAACCCACACAGGGAGAGCATGCAAACTCCACACAAAAACGCCAACTGACCCAGCTGGGACTCGAACCAGTGACCTTCTTGCTGTGAGGTGTTTGTGGTACCCACTGCGCCACCCTTAATTCATTCGTTCATTAAACTTCCTTTGTCTTAGTCCCTTTATTCGTCAGAGGTCGCCACAAAAGAATGAACCACCAACTATTCCAGCATATGTTTTACACAGCGGATGCCCTTCCAGCTGCAACCCAGTATTGGGAAACACCCATACACAATCATACACTTCGGCTAATTCCCCTATAGTGCATGTGTTTGGACTGTGGGGGAAACCGGAGCACCTGAAGAAAACCCAGAGCAACACGGGGAGAACATGCAAACTCCACACAGAAAACTGACCCAGCCGAGACTCGAACGTGAAACCTTTTTGCTGTGAGGCCACAGTGCTAACCACTGTGTCGCGAAGTCACTTAATTTTGACTTATTATTTAGTTTTTTACTCGTCTAGAAAATGCTTCTTGATTTAAGAATTGTTAGTCTGTAAAACAAGACAAAAAGTAAGAAAAGCAGTGTGTTTATTTTTCCTACTATGGAAGTCAATAGTTACCAATTTCCAACATTATTCAAAATATCTTATTTTGTGATTAAAAAAGTAAAGAAACCACTTGAAGGTGAGTAAACTGAGTAAATGTTCATTTCTGAGTGAACTATCCCTTTAAAACACAGGTCTC